CCGTCGCGGCCGCAAGTCAAGGAGATTTTCTCCTCTATTTTCATGTGCACACTAGACAGACAGAGAAAAAGCTCAAGTCCTACACTCATCTCCCAGGCAGCAGAGAGATCAGTGCTCAGGAAGGACAGGCTGTGCGTACTGAGCAAGAGCTCCTGAACAGAACAGCATGGCCAGCACCATGGGGGCTAATGCTGCTCCGGCAGGTGAATCCAGGGATACGGGTCTGCAAGGGATGGGACCCCAGTTAAACGGCACTGATGCAGCATCTCGACATGGTGGTCACTCAAATCCCCTCTGCCAGGCCACAGCACTCCAGGCACTAAAAGGTTCTGAACTGCTGCATGTAAAATGAAGCGTGAATGCCTCCATCCTGAGTGGCAATGAGGCAGGGAAACAGGGAAAACAGCGGCTATTTGAAGGCAAAAGGCACAGAAAATTCCCAACCTCAGCTCAGCAATGGATGGACATCCCATTTTAGTTAGGAAGATGCCTAACCAAACTAGCTATTTACTTTCTTGCTGCCATACTTTCCCAGATTTTGCCCACCAACTGTTATAGTTACAAGGTAAGGGAGCACAGGAAAAAGCCTAAAAGGAACAGGAAGGCTCTCTCCCAGGGCCACACACAGGGAGAGCTGTGAGGAGACCACTTCCAAAGCAAGGGCAGCACTCACCTCTCCATGTTAACAGGAGGAGTGAGAACTTTGGCTGCTTCCACAGAGCGCTTGCCTACGGAAGTCATGATATTTTCTCCTTCTGATTTCAGCTTGTCCACAAAGTTGTCCACCTCCTTCCCCTTAGCGCCGAGCTTCAAGGCTTTACTGGGACCTGAAGGTCTAAACAGAGGTCAAGTCAGCTCACTGCAACAGGTTCCTCCTTCCTGGTTATCTTTAAGTACTATAACTTGACTATCCCAACACCACACCATTCACTTTGGCACCCTTTATTGGAGACAACACGCACAGCACTATTGTCTTACGTGTCAGGTGCTAAGCTATAATTTAGATCTGGATTCTGTTCTGTGTATTACCAGGAGTTGGGACCTCTTTTTCTCACACAAAATGGGAAGCTCATTGCTCATCCAAGATTCCAGGGAGACTACAAAGGGTGTTACTATGGTATATGGCACAAATGCTCCTCAATAGTTACACAGATGAGGAACCTACGTTAGAACTTCTCTTTGGGCACATAGTTTGAGCCACCGCTGGCTCCAGAGAACATTTGCCACCTGCTGTCCCCCTACCTGGCTGGTGCTGGTGCCACTTTGGGCTTCTCGGTCTCAATGATGGTCTCTGTGATCATTGCTGCCGTCGTGCCCCCAGACACGGCCGAGCTGCCGAAGCCCCCAAACCCGGGTGCCTTCTTGCCGTGTCTCTCCGCATCCCTCCTGGCCTGCTGCAGCTCCTTCGCTTTACGACGCATCTCAGCTTTTGCTTCGCGTTCCTGCGTCTGAAAGAAGAGACAGGAGACTGATGGAGCTTTGCAACCTCAACTTCAGCCTGCACAGGAACTAAATGCAGTTGCCCACAAACCCCTTGCCAACAAAAACAAAACAAGATACAGGTTTAGACAGATACAGAATACAAGTTTACAGAAAAGCTAAATAACTGCATGGCCCTACCAAAGTGGAAGAACACCTCTGTATAGCAAAAGCAGCATTTCCCAGACATGGCACCTTGTGCCAAGCTCGCAGGTGTCCGTGCTCACCTCTCGGACTGCCCGGAACACCTTTTCCTCATGCGAGTCCATCTCAGTGAAGGTCCGAATTTGTGCCAGATTTACGTTCTCGCGGTAGCCCAGGGCGACGATTTCATCAAATGCAAAGATCAGGTCAAAGCAGTGTTCAGAGATCTCATTCTCCTCCAGAGCTCGACAGTATTCAGGGATCTAGTAGGAGAACACATTTTAAAGGAGTACCCACAGAGACTACTGTGTAAACACTTTCCTTCTACCATCCCAGAGGTCACAGCTGTGCTGACCCTCCCAACCCCAGTGCACTCTTCCGCTGCTGCAGGTACCATTAAGCTGTTGATAAACAAGATGAAGTTTTGCCATTATTAGTTTTTCCACACTAAAATCCTTATAGAACCTCTCAGCTTCCTTGTAACACTAACTCAGAGGAGCCCAACTGCATGCTAGGGCCAGCAGATTTCCTGAAAATAGTTTGATTGTATGAAGACACGAATTTGCTTCTTCAGGATCCCTGCAAAGCAACCTGCACTTGTAACATCATGTTACTTTTTGAAGTAATATGAGCCTTAGGCTAATTTATGCTAAATTACGATCAGCACTTTGGTCTCATCAACTGAACTACAACTGAGGATTTCTTATGGTAAGTTCAAAACTACCAACAAAACTTCAGAGCTTTCTTCCTAGTCAGGAAGGGAAGCTCTGTAACACCACGCTGCCAGGTAGAGGCAGGCAGTGCTCCAGCACAAGCTCAGAAACAGGTGCCCCACAACGGCGCTGTTCCAGGCTACAGCCACATCACCGAGTGACAGATCCTTACCACTCTAGAGAACAGCCGGAGTGTTTCCAGGTCTTCCAGGATGTTGCTGTTCTTGGTCGTGATCAGCACCATGTAGAGCTTCTCCATGGGCTGGTAGACGTACCGCACGCTCTCTGTCTCCACGAACGTGTGCTGCTTGCCCGTGTTCATCAGCTTTGGGAACGCCGCCAGCAGCCCCTCGATGCGGGTGCGGGTCATCTCCACGAACTGCCGGGACACGATGGCCTTCCCCGCCTTCGTGCATACGGCGGCTGCCAACAGCACCTGGGCGAGCGGAGCGGGTGAGCCTGGCCCACAGAAAGGATCACTTCCCACCACACCTTACCTGCATGCACTCAGAATGTGATTTTATGTCTTTTTCTGTGACCGGGAACTGAATTATGCCAAGAGCAGAGACACCTCTGTTTTTCTCTCTCTCTCTCTCCCCATTCCATGTTCTGTCCCTACATTAACCTCAGAGCTCTCCCTGCTTCTGTCAGGCAAATGAACCCGTTCCTGATTCCACACACACACAGGTGTAACAACCCGCAGGAGCGTCAGGGGAGGCTCCAGGAGATGGACTTTTCCATCAGGCTGCCCCAGCTTACTACACACAGGAACGCTGTGAAATGTGACATCTCTCCCAGTGCCACACGCACAGCACAGCCAGGCTGATGCAGCCCTGGTTATCACCACAGGCCTCAGGTGCCTCCCGGGCAGCTCGCAAGCGTTATCACTCGCCAGCTGCACTTTGTCTTCCTTCTCTCTATCTGCCCAGACTTCCTCCCGACATTTCCCTCTCACAGATCAGTTTCTTAATTACCTTTGTCAGAATAACGCTGTTTTGCACTTCAGAGCTTTTAAATCCCCAAACGGACAGAAAGTACCCGAAACCCTCCAACACGGCATCACTGGTCCCTGCCGCAGGCGGAGCCGTGCGCGGGGGGTCTGTGCTGATTCCCACACCGCYGCCACGGGGAAAAGGAGCCGGAGCAGCCCC